TTTTGTCCTTATTCATTAGATTTAATTATTTCACAATTAACTTATTGCTATTCAATGTCACTTGAAAAATAAATTATTTCTTCTGGTAGATGTTTAATACAAATTTTGCTCCGTTTCTTTCTACTCGGTAGATGTCGATAATCTAAATGAACATGATTTTTGATCGGGTGTTTGTAATTTATCACATAAAATTTTATTCCTTAGTTGAAAAGTCGATTTCACTTACAAATACAATAACGTACGCCTCACAAATAGATGAGTTTTCATTAAATATGATACACGTTTGGAGAGCAAAAATGTTATTTTCGAGGCGAGTCTTATATAATCCCTGATGAATGAAAACAGGTAGAATTCTTTATAACTCATAGCTCAGTAAACTACTTTTTGACAGATTTTTTTCAACACATTTCTGACTGGTGCAGCCAATGAAAAACGCGCCACTGTATATTTCACTAGTGACATCTGTAAAAAGCATTACCGCGGCTAATTCACATGCCGATTATGTGATAAGGATGAAAATGCACCAAAATGTACAAATATAATAGATATCAAAGCCTGTAAACCACTGATATACTTTTAGTGACGATTGATACATTTGGAATGAAAAGACAAAAACAAGATATGATTACATGGCGTGACTATATCAATCACACTGACGTGCGTGACATTACCTCTCGTGCCCAGCTGTTAAAAAGACCATCAATCATATATATATATATATATATTTCACTTGATAACATGCCGATTATGTGATAAAGATGAATATGCACCATGCTGTACAAATATAATATGTATCAAACGTATATCTCTGGTATATATTTAGATTTAGATTCATATATATATATATATATATATATATATTTGCAATATATATATATATGAGAGTTACTTACAAAATTAGAAAACTTATCCAGTAATTAATACTGTTCTGACAGACAACATAATGAGTAACCTATTTGAAATATGATATTAAAAATTTATTTGAAAAATGATATATATTTTATAATGATAATAACAAGGGTATCTCGATGATACTTTACGAACACATCGTCATCGTAAGATGGCTTTGTATTTAAGAAGTGATCCTTTTCCATTATAAAATATAGATGATATATACTTCCTATATACATCTTGAATGCTTATGTCTCCGATAGAGTGCTAGGATGATAAATGTACCAGTTAAATTTCTATTCGTTATTTTCAACAGTTCCATACAAATGATATTATTGAAATGGAGAATCTGCAAGAGTACTATCTTGATAATTGTACAAAGTTTTCAGTAATTACCTTGAACGGTTTAAGAGAACTAGTCTAAAAAAAACTTGAACTTTGTGATTTGGCCTGTTTCCATGTTAGCAGAAAAAAATATCTTAATGAAGACCTTCTACATTACTAGCTTAATAACTGTACAAAATTTCGAGTAATTATCTTGAATGGCTTCAATGCATTTTTGGTAAATTTGTGTAATGATGAAAAAGCGAGTCTACAATAATTGATATATTTATTATGATCAACATATTATCTCAATCCTATTTTAGCGCTATACCTTCAGTACGAAAACCTGCAAAAATAAGGTTATCGATAAAATACAATGTAGTGTACAACATAGAACATAAGATAAGAATAGCAAAAGTGAAAACATGATATATCCATAAAATATTATTAGATTGATGCGACCAATCGGAGGAATGAAATGGCTGCCAATCCCGTTTAAGGGTCAACAACTCTTCACATATTTCGTGGTTCCTGGCCACTCTTGCAACTGAAAGGTCTAAGGTTTACAAATCATTAGTTATTTATAACAAAAGTTGTAGGTATCAGGAAATGCGCTAGCGCTTCCTTTACCTAAATTGTACTCCATTGTAATGGAGTTGCAAAATTTACGAAAAAATCTACATAAAAGCTAAATACAACTACATATACTTCAGTAGCATATTAAAGATTGAAACATTAAATACTGTTGGCTTTTTGGGAGCATTATCAGGTAAAATCCTGTCTTTCCAACAATTTAATAAATTGTACATGTGAAATTATTTAGGACCATTGCATCGCTGACGAGTCCTAGAAACACGGTTCCAATTAAAACGTACTCCTAAACGCGGTCGATTAAAAGTTAAACACGTTGCCTTTCTCAGTTCTGGTTGATACGATCAAATTTAATCTATATCATTATAATGCAACTCCACATGCATGTTGCGTGTTTGGTATGAACCCGAAACGTATCTTCTCATGGGTAAGGCCTTTTCTTTATCTGTACAATCAGATGACTTGAAACCAATGTTTTTCAGATGCTTATTAATAATACGAAAAAAGTCAGTTTTGTGAATTTTTTTGTTGGAGATGTTCAAACTTAATTCAGCAAAACAGTTTGTGCAAGCAACCGCAAACTAACAGTTACAGAAATCATGTTATCTAACGCTTAATAGCAGCTACAGTCCTGCTGGTGAATGATAAAGAAGCTCGTCATATTTTAATGCTGTTGGATATCAGTTGATTTTGAAAACATTCGCGATTCATTCCAGATTTACATTGTCACCAACATAGGAAAGGCTCTAAACAGCTGTTCGAGTGAATCATTACTTACAATACCATTTGGCATTACCTGAATGTGTCAATTATCCATTCATTAGTATCATAAACACCATTAGATTGTAGTATAATGAATTACTGAATTACAGATAACATCAAATTTACATCTATAAATCCTATAATTAGAATACGTGATTAGGAGTTAAAAAGGATACCATTATCAAAATATAAACTAAAAAAGGCATAAGAGAATTACATCAATCTAAAAAAAATCAACAAATATGAAACATTATCGACAGAGCTGTTGATGATGGCTCTTTATTTCTCCTAATAGAAGCAAAAATGTACAATAGAAAGAAATGATATTCATATTTACGCAATACAAAATAGTACTTAGCCATGCCCAAACGGCATCGCTGTAATCCCTTGAAACTCGAGGTGATTTATTTCCTGGAGGGGGAGTATGTCATCCTGGTAAAATACTAGCCGCAATATACCACTCGGCTAGGGAGAACTTCTCTTTAGCTCGAGTGGTTGAGGCGTCAGACCAGTAAGCCAGGGGTCCCGTTCGATTCCTAGCCGAGGCATTGAAATAAGTAATGACCTCTGTTACACATATATAAATATATAGATGATATAGACCGCTTGTATGACACCTACAGTGGATATGAAACGGTTTAAGAAAACACTTCAGTTCTCCATCCTTGCTTCCGTTCCATCATCCAAAGCGAGCGTTCAATATACATATAGAGAACTTACAAAGAAACAGTAAAAGTTACAAATGCTGTGTGTTTATAACATTCATCGGACTTTTCTTTTTTCTTTTTTGTTTTTGTTTTTTATGTCAAAACTGCAATCAAATCAAACGTGAAACTAAATAGTGATCGAATAAGGAGTCAGAGTAGAAATGGCGACAGGTAGATTTAGGGTGACAAGCACAGGAAGCGGGAATATAATTGTTATTAGGCAAACTTGTGTTTGTTTTTTCTTAATTGTCGTAGAAAAAAATTCCTTATAACAATATAATTGGATGATAAATCCAGGGAAAATAGAACAAAAAATCTCCAAATAACAATAAAATTGGATAGTAAATCTAGGGAATATAAAACAAAAACAAAACATGCAACCAATATACACTATACTCATGATGTATCAGCTATTATATATGATATACTAACAGTTTAAATATATATCATCCTGAAAAATAAAACAAATGATTAATCATGTTAATAGAAACAAGAGTATCAGTGAAGCTGATGAATGCTCCCCAAAAACGAATTTTTGGATACAATATCATTATGTAATTAAGGGGTTGCAGGCCCTGAATTTGGTAAACTGCAGATTTTCTAAATATGACCAATGTATACACCACGTTTCATGATCCTAGATTTAATGCAAGCAAAGCCATGTACATGACACAAAATTTTAACAAAAGGCAATATCTCTGTAACATAGGTGTCCTGGGCCTTGACATTGCTTCACTTCATTTGGCTTTTGTATGACTGATGTATATATCATGTTTCAATATCCTAGTATATTTAAACACAAACAAGTCATGCCCAAAATACAAAATTTTAACAAAGGGCAATAATTCTGTAATTTAGTGGTTGCGGGCCCTAATATCGGTACATTGAACATGGTCGTCGTATGACCAATGAATACATTATCCTAGCTTAAGTGCAAGTAAAGCTCTGGACACTAAAACTTTTAACAAATGACGATAATTCTATAATTGAGCGTGCGAAGTCCCTGAATTTGATACACTGGACGTAACCTTAGCATGTCGAATGTACACACCAAGTTTCAAAATTCTTGCTTAATTGATGGCAAAGTTATGCTTCGGACACGAAGGACAGACGGACGGACGGCGAGACGGACTTTGCGACGACTATATGCTATTCCGAAAAACTTTTCGGGAGCATTATAATTCTGAACTATTCCCAAGGTATACAAAATAGTTACCAGAAATGGCATGAGTCATAAAAAAGTTAAAAGGAGATATCCAACCCTGAATGTGATATAAAAACCGTAATAAAACACATAGATATTTCATAGGCCCGTGTAAGCAAAAACAGATAAATGCCAATAATATGTAAATAGCTGTTCCAACAATATATTTCAACAAAACAATTGACAGTAAAAGTAAAATACGTGTTGGATACTGGCAGCATACACGATACACACTGTTTGCTTTTTCAATACATCTTTCCGAGGTATGACGGAGTTATCTTTCCTTTGTTGACGGCGTGTAGATTCTTGATATCAGGAAGTATAAATCCGCAAGTAGGATCTTGTAAATGACATTTAAAGAGAATTAGTCATTTCACCTTTTACGTTTTTAAACATTCTCTGCGAATACACGTAAGTAAATCCCTGTCAGTGTATTTACAAAATAAGTCCATCTCAATGTTGACAGTATGCGTGGTCCGTATCTTCATTGTAATGACATTACATACCCTTAGCATCAGAGATCAACTGGGCGGGAACTTGTCAAACACTCGACTATTTGCCTCGTAGAATTTCAGCAAATTTGCCCAAGTCTGATCACATCTAAGCAGATGTTTGTTACCTGTCCAAATTAAGTATGAACTGATATGTAGAGATTTTATAATTTTTTTAAAATCACAATAAAACGAAGGAGGTCAAAGTAGACATTGAGGGTTTCGTCGGTCGTAAAAGACAACCGATAATGTATTGTGTTCCCCGTCCCATCAAATCGCTTCAACTGTTGAAACACCGATTTTATTTTCTGATGTGTCGCTAGATTAACTCTTTAGGCGTACCGAGTGACAAGCTCTGCTACTAATTTGTGTTTCTGAGTTTTCCTTCGCCATGCAAGACAAGTCTTAATAATTATAAACAGTGGTGTAAATTAAAAATCAAATAATATTCAAAAGGGCCTGTTTCCAGTAATGTTAATTCTCCATAGGAGCCTGCCCCCGTATAATTTCTTATCTAGCTCAACTACTGTTTTTTTCTTTTCCGAAAAATAATTTTACACCTTTCCGACACCCAGATTTGATAATTTCAGTGAAAATGTATTTTTATAAAGTTGTCAATTTCAGCATCAAAGACATAAGTTCGTAAATAAAAGAAGGTTATCTCGAAATTGTAATTCGCAACATAGTATAAATTTCTTTTGATAAATATTTCCAAAACATCGTGTTTATTCATAAAACATAAAAAAAAATATTCTCGGATGAAAATGCACTTGCAGAGACACAATTATGAAAAAAAATGCCATAAATTTGAAATTTTCTCCCGTTATATAGTTTTGGATGCAAATTTCCGTCAGAAAATCGGATAGGGCTTTACTTGTTTCATATGTGTACCAAAAATCAGCTAATTCCATGTGGTGGAACGTTCTCATATCGCCGTCTGAATGTGGTTGTAAATTGAAAGAAAAGGGGAAATGAGTAACAACCTTGTTTGAAACCCTATTATATAGCTTACTATATACAAACTTCTATATTGAATATCAGAGCGGATATTTTCATGACAGTTTTATGATGTGTAAAAAAAAAAAAAAAAAATAAAGTACTGTTTCCCCGTCTCGATCTTGATTACTTGAGAACCATTACGTGTGGAACGTATCAGATATCTCTGGCTCCTGGTTACATCGCCGAACATTTAAGTGATGACGGCGACTATGAGGTGTGGCTTTACCAGCACTCCCCAGACCTTCTCCGATGTCAAATACATTCTCGACACAAAAACCAAACGAAATATAACGTTTGGATACGGTTCACCGTTTCACCCGATGTTGAGGCCCCAATAAAGGACTACTACTGCCAGTGCCCAGTTGGAGAGAGAACGATGGGAATGTGTGCGCACATCTCCAGTATCTTGTACTACCTTGGGTATTACAGGACGCTGGAAAACCCTCGACCATTACAACCACAGGTAAAGAAATTCCGACAAAACTTGAAATAGTTTTCCATGCGGCAACGGAGTGTGTATGTCGAAAGTATGTTTGGGGCTCGATATGAAAGATCCCCGTTACCATGTGACTAACCAAACTTATAAATATAGGTATTATACAATCGCCCGTAGCTATGAACACTCTCGTAAATGCGAAAACCAACCAAAATCATTAGGAACACGTTTTGTTTGTTGTTCTGTCTATTTGTCAGCCAATGTCTTCAACCACGGGGACTTGCGAAGTAGCCATCTTGGATTTTTTTATGAAAAAGTGTTTCTCTCACTTTTTTTTTATATCTGTGTACATATTCTCAACATACCGAGCAAATACTCTCGTTTTTTTGTTAATTATCTAAAGAAAGTCGAAAATCGGCAATTCAACCATAGGCTAATTAAACCCAACATTTGAAAATGTTCCACCACTTACATTTTGATGATTTTTCCTCTCATCAATAGCATATTACGTACTATTTAATAGGATAAAAATTGGTTTGCATCCAACGCCTTTAAAAGGGTGTATTCTCTAAAAAACACAAATTTTGTGTCTAAAATGTTATCATCGAAAATGGCATTTTTGAGATTGTTTCTTCCATAAAACAGCCAAATCGCGCGATGGAAACATGATTTTTTTTGTCACAATCATGCCATGAATGTATTCTTTACGGTGACTATCATTTGATTAGATTTTCATTAATATTTTACATAACATGCACATTTTATCAATACTTATACAGCTTCTGAAAGGTACAATTTTGAATAGCCATAAAAAACAAACCAAGTGACCTAAATCTTTATACTTTATAGATTTGTGACCACAACGGCATGGGCAATGCACCACCAACAGGAAATTTGAATCAGAGAAGGGGCCGTTTTGGATACCGGCCCTTTACAAAATTGATTAACTTAACCTCAATGTATTATAATACACTTCTGTAACCTAAAACCAATCGTCGTCGAGAAAAAGACAGACAAAACGGCTGTATGATGGATTTACACTCGTTTTAATTCGGTTTTTTATTGCAGATATTACATTTTTCAGTTTACCAAAGTTATTCATGAACCTGCATTCTCACAGCGATGTTCAATGAATGCGTAAACGGAAAAAAAAAATTATCAGTCGTTGACACGGAAGGAAATTTATTCATTTTTCGCAAAAGAAAAGACTCATTGCATTGTCATCAATAATATACTGTTATCAAGGGTCTATTCTCCTCGGTATGTAATTTAACGCTGCTTTTAAAATTAATTTGTTCTTGTTATATCTAAACCAGTAAAACTACATTTTCAATCATAGCTGTTATATACAATACTCACCGACAATGATCAGCCCCTTTTTAGCTCTTGTGAGAGCGACGTTGATTTGGTGAGCATCGATGATAAACCCAAGATGACGTAACCGCCATCCTAAAGATGGTCTGTGTTCGAGCATAAACGTTGGCATTGAACGGACGGTGCTTAGGATAATGTAGTCACTCTCGCCACCTACATAGAGAAATTAATAATAAAAACCATAAATCATTCATTTAGTGAAGAATCTTATGGAAAACACTAAAACAATATAGACATGCCAATATTTGAATTGAACTGAAAATCAAAATAAGCACAAAAATGAACAACAGAAACGCAAATAAAAAAAAAAAAAAAAAAAGCAAGAGGCCCACCAGGATTTAATACATATCAAAATGGACACGATGTTTATATCACAAATATACTAAAAGGATAAAGAAACGCAGGGTGAACTTTAAACCAGAAATTAAGTATGATATCGGGCTTCATTTGAAACGAAATTTTGTATACTTACAGATAAATTAAAGCTTAAAAATTTCCAAAGTCTGTATTTTGCATCTGACAATTGCTTTAGAGGTACTAACGATTAAATTGAATGGACCCATAGGATTTTGAAATTGAAATTGAACTGAGTCATCAATATCTTTTGTGTCCGCCGTTTGCTGTGGTCACGGCGCTTATTCTTCTGGTTATAGAGTTCATAAGAGCGTTAATCCGTCTTATGGGGATGTTGTCCCACTCTTCAATCAGAGCTCTGGTCAACTGCTCTCGAGTAGCAGGGGGTGGCTGGCGCTTTCGAACCTGTCTATCCAACTGGTCCCAAAGCTGCTCGATCGGGGACAAATCAGGGCTATATGGCGGCCAATCTAGTGGTTGAATGTTGTTGTTGGCCAGAAAGACTTGGCAAATCCTTGCTACAGGGGAACTAGCATTATCCTGCTGGAGGGTTAGATTATGCTGCTGTAAGAAAGGTATAACATGGGGTCGGAGGATCTCATCTCTATACTTAGCTGCTGTTAAATTGCCATCAATAACAACCAATTGTGATTTTAACCCGTGTGAGATTCCTCCCCACACCATTACTGAACCGCCCCCAAACCTATCCCTCTCTACAACGCAAGCGTCCGTAAAACGTTCGCCACGACGTCGGTAGTCACGTTGACGGCCGTCAGATCGATAAAGACAGAATCGAGACTCGTCCGTAAAGAAAACTTGTCTCCACTGCCTCAGTGGAAACCGTCGTGGAGCATGTGCAGCGACCCAGGCCATACGACGCTGACGGCGAGTAGGGGTAAGGTGGACCTAAGTAGGGGCGACGTGCTCTTACACCCACTTCTCGTAATCGATTCCTTACAGTTTTTGAACTTATAGGACGCCCATGATTTCCACGAACATTAAGTGCAGTCTCAACGGCAGTAAGGCGCCGATTACGCACATGAGAGACGACGATATAGCGATCCTGACGTCGTGACGTTACATGCGGACGTCCTGACCAAGATCGATCGGCCAATCGCCCAGTTTCCCAAAGACGTCTTACAAGACGTTCTATGGTGGAAACATTAACACCAAAATGCCTAGCAACCAGATTTTGCAGCTGTCCTTGCATCAGCATCTGAATGACCTGACCCCTATGAACTTCTGTGAGTCGTGCATTTCTTAAAACGAATCAAATTCTCAATTAATTTTAGGGAAGCAGTTGGTCTGTATAAAGACTAACGAAGAGTGACTTGAGACCAGAACAACACGGTGCACGATATTCTTGTTTTTTCCTTCCTTCACTTACCAGAGCTGCGCACTGTACCGTGACTAAATTTTCGATACATGACAAGGTGTAATATGACCTAATTACTCAATCCACAAAGTTTCACTTTATTTGGAGAACGCGTTTTCAAAATATCGGAATAAATATTACCCTGCGTTTCTTTATCCTTTCAGTATATATTGACATAAGTGCGTACATCCAATCGATTTAAACCAAATTCCACAACAAAGAGCTTCTAATACCTAACTTAATTTTGAGTAAATGCCATTTCTTTTTATCTCGAAATCTTTTGGGCTTTGATGTAGAAACACCTTTCCACCAACTGTCATGCTTCGCGGTCTGTTGGTTTACCAGAAAAAAATCTTTTACCGAATAAAAACAAAAAAGCAATCCCGGATACTTTTCAATATGGGTCAATGTCATGTCTTTTTGCAAACGTTGTCAGTCATTATCCTAGGAACCTATCAGCCGAATACCATGCTTCTGCACCTTTTGGTTAGACAGAAGAAGTCGATTTAATTTTCTAACAAACTTGACCACTGCGACATTGGATGAAGATAAAGGCCATTTCTTTTCGGAAACCTCATTAGGATTAATCCGGAGAATCTATCACACAAATATCCTTCTGCGCCTTTTGATTAGTCAAAATAAGTAATTTTAAGGTTTTAACTTATTTGACTATTATGACCTTGAATAATGGTCATGGTCATTTCTTTTCACAACTTTTGTCGGGCTCTATCCTAGGAACATATCAGCCAAATATCAGGCTTCTACATGTTTTGGTTAGTCAGAAGAAATTGTTTTAATGTTTTAACAAATTTGACCCCGGTGACCTTGAACATGGGTCAATGTCATTTCTTTTCTCGATATTTGCCGGGCTCTATCCTAGAAAAATATCTATCAAATATCATGCCTCTAGGCCATTTTGTTAATAAGGGGAACAATTTTTTATCTTGAACATGTGTCAAAATCTTTTCTTTTGGGGTTTGTCGGGCTTCATCCTAGAAACATTCTAGCAAATATCATGCCTCAAGCCTGTTCGGTTAAGAAGTCAGTTAAATGTTTTAACAAATTTTACCTCTGTGACCTTGAACATGAATCAAGGTCAACATTTTCGCGATTTTTGTCGGACCTTATCCTAGGAGCAGTCCATTCAAATAGCATGCATCTAGGTCATTTGATTGTTGAGAAATTATTTAAAGGGAAAAGATGACGCCAAATAGACGACGGACAACGAACGATGATCCACGGAATACGCTCACTTGGACCTTGGGGCAAGTTGAGCTAACAAACTAAAAAAAAAGAAAGACAAAAAATATATTTCAGTTCAATGGTAGTGAAACAAGCTTATGCTGTGATGTTGAGTTTAATTCTTTAATATACATTGTAATAATGAGCCACCTAAAAGGCCTTAGACAAACCTTGACTGGCCACGACGGTGTCCACTCTGACGTCACGGTATTTTGAATCCTGCTTCTCTAATTCCTGGCTGATGACCTGCCTCTGGGCATTGTATTGAGACAATATACGTATATTTGTCTTGCTCAGTTTTTCCTCTTTTGCTAAATATGCAAATATCTTCACCTGAAATGTAAAATGTGATGATAATATTTTGTAATTATCTCTCTAGTCTCTTGTGGCCAATTTAGTTGTTAATACATCATTCAAATATAAAGATCGGGTTCCTGTCTCACATTGGACATTGTATTGGACAGTTAATCTTTTATTCTTTCATATTGAACTCTGTCGCCCATACACGACCTCAACCCCAAGATTTTCAAATTAAGAGAATGCGTTTCTTTTGCAAAAACATAATACTTACAACCAGCCTAGCTTCAATCAAGTTGCTTTTCGAATTTTCATTTCCGTCTTCTGTGGTAACTTCTAATGTGGCCTCTTTCCCTTCTACATGGAAGAATGCAATTGGGATATGGCTTAGAGGACTGTTGTTTTTCCAGAGTTTTAATGGACGATGTACTAGCCAGCCAGATGTATACGTTTTGTCTGTTTCTAACTTCTCGTCGTAAAATTGTTTAGATGGGAAGGAGCAAATCCATGGATTCTATGATAAAGAACAACAATGTAATTATATTTTAGATAAGGATTTATTACTGTACGAGTTATATTGTAAGTCCTTTAGTTGATTTGTTTCGCTTGTAAACAGTATAGAAAACAACTTGTTCACATTTGACATTATACTGTAAAGCAATTCTATCTTACATGACATACAAAGTAATGCCTCAAACCGAATGGCAAATGAAACTCGGTTCTACAGTGGTTTAATTTCTGAAAATGTGAAAGGTTCGTGACTTGGACTTGATTCTATTTATTTCAAAAGACAAAAAGAAAGATAGCGATACTGTATGTTGCAAGAAATGTATTTTTCCCTTTAAAAATCCTTATCAATAATGTACGACTAAAGGAACTGGTCGGTTCGGATTCAGGAACACATGGGCTTGAAACATGCGCTCGACCTCACATACATAGGGATATCATCATTAAATGATCACAGTAGTTGATATGACGTCAAACAATTTAAAATCGAACCATGGTTATAAGCTTGTCGTGTTTAAAATGTTTACTTGAGCTTGCAAGGAATTCAGTATTTCTTACGTGTACGGTAAAAAGTAACATTCACATGCACGGTCCTCAATCAAAATATAAACTACGGTTAGCTAAATCTTATTAAACTTGGCTCGAACTCACTTAGTAGCATATAATACTTATGAAGTCGTACAGAGATACAGAGTTATGATGCGCATATGTAGGCGACTATAGCACAACCATCGGTATTGTAAGGTCGTACCAGCGAAACCAGTCACTTCTTGCGCGACAGCATTAAGACAGTAATTGGTTTTTGTCATCAACATATCGAACCGCATAAAAAGGAAAAGCCTGACCATAGTTTAAAAGGTAAAATATACAATCATAGACATTAACCATAAAACTAAATGACCTGAGATTTAGATATCGTCTTGATAAGATTGACATGAAATTAAATAAGGAAGGAAAGACGACTTGGACCCCCACCTACGGATATAGGCAAAATAGAAATATCACCAAAATAATTCAAACGACATAGATGCATTTCCGATTTTTCTGTCTGGCTTTTTATCTAGAAATTGATGCATATCGTCTTTAGATGTGTTGTCTGATAAGGAAATATTTTATCATTATTTTCTAGACCTTCTCACAAGTCAGAATTTGATCACGTGGAGCGCCTGAAAACTCGATATCAATTTGAACTCGTGTTACTTCTACATCAACTTTAAGACAGCAAAAGACATGAACAGTTGCAGGCATATTATTACTATGAATAAATTATAAATATTATCGTCGTTGCGATTTATATATGTTTTTTCAATTCTTACTTCATTTTTATTCTAGCTTGCTTTTAAGTCGGAAAGTTTTGATTACTGATTTAATGAGTTCAGAAATTTAACACTTCTGAATTGTTTTTAAAATTATCTACCCTGTTTTAATTTGAATATACTTTTAAGAATTTTTCCATGGCAATGTAAACTTGGTAAACACTTATTAGTAAATAACTAATCCTTTAGCTTCGGTCATGATCTGGATTTACCGACCCAAGACAAGATGACGTTGACCGAGGACTACTTCTTCGATCATCCAGATATCGACCTCAGCTAATGGAAGTCACTGCATTATACGTAAAAGGGTTCCACTTAAACTTAAATTTACCATACGGTACTGTTGGTTCAGCATCGTCAGATATCGAGTCCTCTCGGTGGCATATCTCTCGAACAATGAGTTAACCAGTCCGAGTGCTTTGGCAGGTTTCGATTGGATGACGGGTTGAAGCTGCTTGTGGTCTCCTATCAGTACAACCTGTTTTGCTCTGGTAGCTATGATGGGAACCATTGTTTCAGGTTCTGTACACATCCCGCTTTCGTCTATAATGCAGTGATATATCCGATCCTTTGTTGCTCTTAGCAGTTTCGGATTCCCAGCCATTGCAGTTGTGCAAAATATGACGTCACAGCTTTGCAATTCCTCTATCGTTGCAAGTCTCAATGTTTTCGAGTACTTCTGAACATCGTCAAACTTGACGTCATATTTTTTGTGCTTGAACATCGAATCAAACCGTCTGAGGTCATTGGCATATGTTTTGCCTTCTTTTCGTACCAAATGGTGTAAAGTGACATCGGTCTCCTTCAGGTATGGGTCTGGTCTCGCATTTCTTAGAGAGCGCCGTGACGAATCTTCGCGACCAGGAACAGGGTAATCCACACATTCGTAAGCTTGACTGTAAAACCGTACTATGCGAGGTCCTTTAAGACAGTACATAAACTTTTCTTTCATCCATCCTAAAATGAAAAACAAAAAAGGAATATATAGAATATAAGTAAATAAGATATGGAATCATGTGAATAGCCCATTAGAATCATAACAATGCATGTACATAAAGGAAAATTAGCGTGAAAATCGAATGTGAAATATGACAATTATTCGAATTCGGTTTTGAATTTATATATTGGCTTTTTTACATACGATTATTCCCCAAAGATTTTTCCAGTTGTAGTTAACGAGAAATGTAAATTAAAAACACATAGTGACATTCACATAACCGTTATTTGACGTTCTTTTGACCACAGCTTAATAATTCCAACAGAAGAATTGCAGTGGCACTAGGCAAATTGCATATAGTGATCCTGACATTGTGGTTCTTTATGAAATTTGATTGAAATATTTTAACCTCTGTTAGATTAAAACACAGGTCAATATTAATTATCATCTTGTCATATTGCTTCAATATTATTGGCCTTTCAAAATAATAAAATATGAATGTATTTAACAATGTATATTTCATGTTAGTCCACTTCAACCTTTGACTTCAGCCCGCTTTAAAATGATATCTTAGCGTAATAAAATATACGTTGATAGGAATATATCCAAATCTCTAGACTAGAAAGCCTCCGTTTACTTCAAATTATTTTACTACCATCATGTTATTTTATTAACCCTTGAAATCTTGAAAATAGGTCAACCGTATTCCATTTGTACGTATTTTCCCCGAAAGATCGTGCTAAAAAAGAAAGGTGATGGCTGATCATCATACTCAAATACAAAGATACAAATCAGTAAATAAAAACAAAAGAGAAAAAAGCTTCTAATGTTCATATGTATATAAAAAGAAACTGTAAATGTGTTTGGCATCTTTTGTACAATAGAGATTTCAAGTTGTGGACTTTAGTCCGCGAAATTTGTCGTAACCTATGTAGCGTTTTAATTCATTCGCATAGTGACACGGTTCAGAGTATACACGTGTACTTGACGTTCTTCTAAATCACCAAATGCACCTCCCTATTTTATTTTATTTATTTATTTTTTGCATTTCTTTCGACCACTTTGGAATATCCTCAGTCGCCTCTTATGTTTTGTGTCCTTTGTACAATCTTGCGCATAATAGGTGAAAAACAATGATTTTTTCATATAAAGCAATGATCCAGGAACTCACTAGCGACGAGATCAACTGATTTGTTGGACGGTCCACAGAACAATATTTGTCTTCTATCTTCTCCCCTAGCTTCTGCCATCTTGTTTAGTTGATGAAATAGGTATATAAGTTTGATACCTGTAAACGTCTTCCCCGTACCTGAAAAGGGGAGGATAACACACTGGTACATTCAGCAACCAAATAAAACACACAAGAAGATATCAATTGTAACAGCAGAAAACTACAACTGCTTTGTGAGAACATGAAATTAAAATAGATATTGATACATGAACAAGTAACAAAGTTATGAAAAACATCAATACATGAATACATGTCACTCCGGATGGGTAAGTTGACTATATACAAAAATATCCCTTACCTCAAAACAGGAAGAGTTTGATATATTATAATAATATTATTATATGGAGAACCAAAATATAATTGATATAGACGAGAATAAACGACATACCGGGTGGTCCTTGTATCAGGCTAAATGAGGACTTCAGGGCTGAATCGATGGCTTTTTTCTGCATCAGATTGTTGTTTGGGATACTGACATTTGGCTCGTTGATATCTTGTTGTAGTCCTCTCACGTCCCTCAGGTAAGGATCATCTACAATAAAACGATAAAGAAAGATAATGATAAGTTTTAATGTTACTCCGTGATGGTTTTAGACACTCAATGTTAAAATCGTTACGAGCTCGGGACAGGGATACCTGCGTAATCATCTAAAAGTAACAACCCAAACAATCGAAACTGACTAATTCTCCGTCCACCATTTCTGATTATCGAAATACATATTACAGTTACCAGTATATAAACAGTTGATATTATCAAAAAAAAATTAAGAAAAATACTAACATGCCAACATCATCATGATTCAAACTCAAATTTCATAAAACTTGAGCAAAATATGAACGATTTAAACAGAGCCTCCAGAAGAAATTACAAAGAGAATAAGACCAGGTGTTCTAGAAGAGTAAGCGTCTCCTGCTTCATCGACGACACCAACCATTCAAACCTTTGTCAATTCAAGTAAGTAGTGCCCAGTTGTCAAATGAGAACAAGTTATGAGTTCGTCAAAATAAACTGATATATTAAGAGTCCGACCGAAGGCGTGAAAGCGCAATTATTTGCTATTAAATACTTGCCCAAATCCGGGATTGGCCTTCTTAGTGCTACAGCTTTCGCTAACCGTGTCGCACCCCGCAGGTTTCTGATGGTTTCTTCTGCTCGTCTTATGGTAAAAACAACAAATGGATACATGAATATAATTCATATGAAAGAAATACCTTTTCCTTAACATCATGCAACTCAAACTATTTTCAGTGCCAATTTACTAAGAATGCTTCAATTTAAACTGACTGTAATGATACTGTATCGGAAGGGGTTGATCATAGCAATTGAACCAAATTTCCAATTTTGATCTTTCTCGACATTGTTCCTTGCGATTCAGCACATTTGTATGTGAAGTTTTAGCTAAGTTGCTGTCGGATGTTTCAAGTCAATACAATTAGGAACTTACCTATGCACACTAGACTTTGTAAGTAATTCCAATGTGCACTTATACGATCCAACGTCGGGTATCTTCGGACTGTTGTGAAGACTGAATCCGATTTGATACCTAGCGGTGTTCTTTTTCCCTAAACGTCTTAACTTCGTTGTCCTACCATGGCCCACCCAATCGTATGTTTGTTTGCTACTCTTGTCGTCTGTGGTGCGTGTAGCACTGTCTCGTTTGGTTTCTGCAATGGTGCCTTTGCAGTGGTTTGTAACTGGCATAGAAATACGAATACAGAGAAAATCACTACATTCGACTAATGTGAACTCACTACCATTTTCATCGTTCTGAATGTCGTCATCACTCTCAGCTTCATCTGTGATATCGTCATCCTCTGATATTTTCTTGAAACCTAAATCAATATTTCTTTCTTTGCAGAATCTGGAATTCAGAGTGAACGTCCCCATGCTGTTTGTATGAAATGTCACTCGCACGTTTTTCACCAGAGGAGAATCTTCATTCCGTATAATTCTTGTGACTTCTTCCATTTCCAGTATAGGTGTCCAGATTCTGATGTAGTCGGCCTCATCCTTATATGTTTTCTTTGCAGGGGATGTCACGTACCTAGCTAGACAAGAAATTGGGTCGGCCACGTGTTTGAGACAAAATGCCACGGTTTCCGTGACATATATCAGCTGGATATCCGGAACAAAACAACCATGTTTTGGCTGTGCTTCAATCTGAACTGTTAATGTTTGTCCGATTTCAAAGATTCTCTGAAAGAAGCACAGATGTTTGAGCATATATTCGTGTCTCAGAACCTCTGAGCATACGTCAGAAGCATACATTTGCCCATCACTTTCAAGTTTACTCCCAGGCAGTGCCTTAATTCCACTAAAAACGGCACGTAGATGATCTGAGTCGGTCGATGTGTCTTCGATAGATGCGCATAACACATCTACCCAATCCTGGTACTGAACGAAGACTGAGTTACCATTGGGGTCAATAGTAAAACAACTCTTTGCTATTTCCTTTCTGTCGTGAAAAGCTATACGATCTTTATCATAGATGCGCTTTTTCCATTTAGCGAACAATGCTCTTATTCTGTGGTGCCTGGTTCGAATTTCTGGCTGCGAACATAACCCTAGCAAACTGAATCGTAAATGAAAAGGTTCTGCGAAATTGTATCCGAGGATCATTAGATCTATTGTCGTCTGATCAGGCAATCCAACAACGATCGCTAATGTCTTGATCGCATTCGTTTCCTTCAAATGGGTACCCAACATTTGTGTTTGGAACTGTTCTCGAAATCTTTCTCCTCTGTGGTAACTCTTGTTTGAATGAGCACATATGTCCTCCAACTCTTCTATTGTATATGGAGGGTAAGCCTCTTTAGCGATAACCGCAAGAATTAATCTTTGAATAACCAAATCTATATATCTTCTGATCGGAGAGGTTGCTGTTGTGTAATATTGAACTCTCAACCCGAAATGATGATCATTCTGCGATCCCGAACAAGTATATTTCGCCTTATGCTGAAATAACTTCCATTTTTGCATTGCGACACATTGCTTTGGATGATGGTCGTCCTTTCTCAGGAGAACTTTCAGTCTTCTATTATCATTCGTATCATAAGCATCAAGCATGCTTTTCCAAATTCGTTGATCAATTGCAATCTCACAGTTATTACCGTTTCTCATCACGTTTTCAAATCCAATTATGTGTGTATCTGCTTTTGAGTCTGTGACCTGCAAGTCGCGATCTTGTAAAATCATGATGATATCTGCAATGCCATCCTGTTCCTTTAACCATGCACATGCTTCCTGAGGGTCGGGGTAAGCATGGGTACGTAGTGGAAGATTGTTTGGATAAACAGACTCTAACATTTCTGCAATCGAAGTATTTGTCAGAATCATAAATTCCTCGACGAGGTAATGAGCTTCATGAAAGTCAAATTCTTCGTCTAACCCAACTAAATCATTTCCTGGAAATGCGAAATGAGCGTTCTCCAAGCGACGGATTCTCAATTTCGTTGCAAGCTGAAACATAATTTTCAATTTTCCTGACAAACATGGAATATTTAATTTTTCGTCTCTTAACAAGACATTCTGCACGTCTTCATAGCAAAGATTCTTTACTGGTCTGATAACGTGTCGTTTAATATTCCCTGGTTCTGGATACTTCTTTACCTCCCCCTCTGTGTCAATTTCAAAATAAAAGGTAATGACATGTCGTGGTTTACCTTCTTTGAGACTCAGCATGCCAGTACTCAAAGGCTCCGGGAGCATATGACAGGGTTTTGCTCCCATACCAGCATAGTTTGTTTGACATCTTTTCCTTGCTTCTTGATCAACTGCATCGTCCTTTTGAACAAGTCTGCAGACGTCTGATAAATGAACACCGACTTTGTATACAGTATCTGTAGCATCTTCAACACCTACTAGTTCAACACTGAACCCGTCGTCAAACACTTTTGTATGTTCTCCATCTATAGTAAACACTAACGCATCATCCACAACGAAAGTTTCCTTATTTTCGTTTTCTTTGCGAATGATACCATACACGGCCTCAACAGTTTCCTGTGTATAGAATGAGGGAATCATATGCTGAATTTCAGTGATGCGCAGCATTTCAAAATCGTTTGCATCGACAAAGCCGATGACTGTGCCAAGAGGGTACTGATAGAATCTTTCCCATCTTTGAAAGGCAACTAGAAAACGTAGGCGTTTTCTTCTTTCTGGCAGGATTTTGAAAAATTTCTCGAATACCAGATATCCTTCGAGTTCGTGATATTTGTATATTTCTATCCAATAATTTTCTTCTCCTTTCTTTTCTTTCCTTACACGCCTGTTGGTGATGTATATCTTAGGAACAGTTTTGCATGCTGGTAACATTGCATTCCTTTCCAATTCATCTGCGGTGCAAACAAATACAGGATGATCTATGTTATTGTATCTTAATCTTTCTACAACTGCAGTAACTCTTCCCTCAGTTCTCTGTGGTACACTGGATTTGCTTGGAAGTTTTTTGATGATTTCGACCACTACGATATCCTCGTTGAAAGCCTGACCACATTTCGATCTCCCAGAAATGTAAATTTTTTCTGGTGGATAGCGAACATCATCTAGTGGGGTACATATAGCCTCCTGGTTACCAATGATATCGAAAGTACACATTTTAAACCTGTCAGGCGCCGACGTACATTGTTCGATAATTGTTTGATCAGCTGTTTGCTGACTGGACGAAAACGAGTAAATGATTTTATCTGGGTCGATGTCATCTCTAGGCATCGAGTATTTATCACTAAGTTCCAAGCCATCTTGAAGGTATCTTTGATGTAGAATTCTGATGTCAGTTGATTCTAAATCAGATTTCTGAAACCAGTTGTCATCACTATATGGTTCCGAATCCATTATTGATAAGGTAATAGTGATCGATTATATTGTGTCAATGTTTTTGCATGTAGTCAGAACAGTCGATCCCCTTGTGTCCGTCCATCTGAAAGATAAAATCTTCTCCTTGAGGACTGTACAAAAGGCGCCCTATAAACAATAAATATAATATATAGCGGAGATTCTTTGATTCTATCAAACATAGCCCATTGACCGTTGGACTTTCCTGGAAACAGACCTTACTAAGTTCTGTCCTTCAAACTTTATCGGGTATGTGCGTGTATTTTCTGATATTTTGATAAGTATATTATATCATAATTTGCAGCGTCCTACTATTTAAAAACAATTTCATTTCATATTAATCACTATTTCTTTAAAAAGAAACAGTGAAGCCATGGTTAACGCCATCTAACAAGAATGACGTACCTTTCTAATTTTTAAACACACATTTACATGATACCCGTTACACGTAAATGTAGTTACGTTCGTAGCCTAATCATATTGCTCCTGACAAAAGTCTTTTAGAATCACATACGGTAGAGCCAAATATTTCTTAATTTTGCGAGAGAATTAAACATACTTATAGTAGATAAATCAGTTTAATATGTATGAAAAAGTTGCAAGTATAGATCTTAAATCCGAAATATATTGAATATGAAGAAAGTGCACTTCCGAATATGATTTTTGACGACGAATTCGTCCAATTTTCATTTTCCTTCAGCCGCAGACGAGTCTTAAAAGGACAAAATTTGTGTATGGTGCAGTTTACTCCATTGTTTGTCTCTACTGTATCTAATTTTAGTGGAGGGTGTCTATTTCGGCCGGTTTGGTGGTCATTAATTTCAAAGACTATTCTATGCAGGAAAACACTTATAGTATAAATAGAGTCGGTCACAGTCACTTAAATGTATGAAAGATCCATTTTCAAATCAAATACACATGAAAACTTCATGTTACCAAACTCAAAATAACTTGATACTTCAACTGAATGCAACAAGAGAAGCCATTACTTATTAACCCAACAGGACCAGGGAGTGTCTGCTCACCACATCACAATAGTGCTTTATCAATGTTTTCATCAGCATGTCGGACCACTTGTCCGATATTGGTCAAATAAGGGAGAATAGATAAATATACACTCCACAATCTACTGACTGAATCCTCCTAGGGAAGGGCAAGGCGTGGGTCTTGGAGGGTTCATGAGGGCGGGCAGCATTTAGACCCCTTGTATGCTTTTGCCTGGATAAACAAGAGTACCTTATACAGACTGATATCAGGCCAAATAAATAGCTGTCTTCTTTTGCCAAACCGTCCCTGTTTTACCCTTTTTGATTGCCATTCCGCACAGCGTTACACATAGTTACAAGGACCGATGCCAAACCTTCTGTTGACACTTATCTGGAAAGATGGCGGTAGCCATGTCATTATTGGTTTTAGGGATGAAGTGGATAAAAAGCAAACACGCCTTAAAACATCACGAACTTTAGAAAAAACCAAAGATGATATCAGGTGTTTTACTCTTGTGCGTCTATTCTGGATGTGATCATTCTCCGTTTCTTTTGTAGGTATTGACCAAACTTCTATTTGTTTACTTTTGGTGGGTTTTTTTTAATCATTTTTATTTTCTTTTTATGCCGCCGCAAAGAGTGTCTATCCATCTGTACGGAACATGTGATATTCAATATGATAAACATACACACATGCGACACTTAAACATAGCTGACACACGAGTACAACGTATTCCCTAGTCCGGATGTGTCACTTTAAAAGTTGGTGTCAAAGGCAAGCAGACATGTTTTTTAATCCTTACCTACCGACCCTACTATTGTTTCAGGCAGATGCGAGAAACGATTTCTCTTCTAATTCGCTTCGCAATTATTGAAAAAAAATATTACTGATATATATTAATCAATCTGCAGAAGATAAAAAAAACATAAAAATAATGAAGTATAAATGGTAGTTATAAATACTACATCCTTAATTTATACACAGCTACACACACAACTAAGGCGGATATTGGGTTGTATACGGGGTTTCCGGTCTACTGCATTTTTGTACTATGCCACGTCATCTTTCTTATGAAGAATGTAAATATCCAAAATTAAGTATATTTTTCAATTTTTAAGATATGCTGATTAAATGTCTATATGGAATAGGTAAATAAACATAACTAGCAGCATCCAAATAGTTGTATTTTTTAAAATTAGATTTTTAAACGGGTTGTGATTTTTATATATGTAACGCATGTAAGCTATACACCCGAGTTTTTCAAGGTCATAATGGCGATATGATGTAATACAACCTCATATCTATTTTTACGGCTGTTTCCCTTTACGCCATGAAAAGTTGTACCCAATTTCCCCGATATACACACATATACACCCTATACATAAACAGATATATTCTTACCTACCAAAAAACGTGTTGACACAGTCTTCCAGACCCCTGTCTTAATCGGCGTAAGTCCCTTTTCCGGCTTTTGTTCCCTGCCTCAACCGTTATCTTGTCAACATATGTGATTATTGACGAAATGCTAGTATCGCATGTTGTAAACCTACACCATAATGAATTGTGGTCACCGTGTGCATGATGTATGATAACTAGTGTCCCATGTAATCTTTAACAAATGTATGTGTGTAATGTCTCATTCACTACCCCATTGTTCTGATAAAAGCTGTTCAAGTTAACGTGTATTTTTTCATTGTGTGTCATGCGCATTTCGAGACGTAACATTTAAGGAACGAACGTAGTCAAATGATTAATAGAATACAGCAAGTACCATTGTATAGCTAACAATACGTATTGCTGTTTTTTTTTTAAGTTTTTTTTTTCTCTTTAAACTTCCATTTATCGTTATCTAATCACGTCTATTATCGTAAAACAAACATGTTTCTCTGCAGACCTCACCACATGTTAAAATACCAGCTCCGCTTAGATAATGTGCAAAGCTATAAATTACACAGCTGATCACCGTTTAAATGAGGTTTTTACCGTACTTCTGATTCTATGTGTTCTCACGTATGACGATCAGACAGATGTTTCTAAGGCGATTATTTCATATATATATATATATATTTCTGTTAACAGTCTGAATTATTTCGAAGCAAGGGTTTCTTTGTAGTAACAGCGGCTACACCTCTAAACATCACGCGGGAGGTCCGTCATGTTTAGTGCTTGCTAGGTAATAAAACATAAGATTATTCATTTTCTTACCCTAGACAGATAAATACATGCTTTTTACAGGTGTGAGATTAATAGAATCTTCCCCTACCCTGAGGGTGTGATAGAGAAATCTCCAACCCGAGGGGTGATTTTTGTTGTTGTCTAACCCGAGGCTCTGCCGAGGGTTAGACTACAAGAAAATCACCCCGAGGGTTGGAGATTTCTCTGTCACATCCTCTGAGGTAGGGGTTGATTATTTTTCTCCCACCCCATTATTTCCGCCACGACGTAAAAAAAAATCCCACGGTTCAAGTGTCTGAATGGCGCATGAATATCACCATTCACGTTTCCAAAATTCTACATTCTTCCGCTAGAGCAAAATGACAGACTACAAACGCAATATGAATAACAATTAGAAATATTTATTTTTTGGAAATTAAATATTTTAATTAGCGATAGATACATGGAAATACTTGTATTGAACAACATTTAACTCCGTATCATTTATTAAGGTAGGGTAGGCTTGCCGCGATGTCATGGACAAAAAGGGGATTTCCCAGTGTATAAAGACGTCAATTGTTTATGCGCGCGAAATATTGCAATGGCGTGAGTGTCACGCGTGTGTTCATTCAGAATCAGTCATAGATGATCCTCCGACGTTTATTTGTGTTCACTGGACAAGTGTTGTTATAGTTAATGTTAACTGTGATGTTGCACTCGCGCATTACGGAACCTGGAAACAAAGCATCCACTCGTCGGTTTGAGTCAGTTGTGATAGCCGACTGAGGTCACCGAGTGCAGTCATGTGGGATAGATTTATCCTCCATGGGTGTTCCACATGGGACATGTCTATCATACATGGGCAGAGGTGGGAGAATGCCTTTTCTCTCATTTCCACCTGTGTCAGATAGGCCTGTCCAGGGCAATAAACATGGTCATGATAGACGTTTATTACACAGGCGCCTGTGTAATAAAGCCACGCGCGTGGAGTAATTCATAGTTTTTTCCCGCGCACTCATCGACTATGTCCTCGTCATCCGCTTCATCCACAAACACGCATAGTCGATTGGAGTCATTGTTTGCAGGCTCGTATTAACAAAACTGTTTTATAAATATCAACATCACCAACCCTGGGACTCAGCCTTTCCGCCGTCGTCCACGTGTGATTGAAAGTGACAATGACTAACTTTCCTCCTGTCGGTGTGGCGCGAAATGTGTGACGTAAGTGACGTCATCTCACAAGCAAACCAAGAATTCCATTCATAAATGTGTAAGATTTGTAAGATTACTATTGACAGTGAAGTAGTATTAATAATTTGACCAACATGTTCAAAGATGTAAAAAGTGTTTATGATATATTATACATTGAGCAATAGTAAATATTAAAAAGAAAAGCGTTGTTTTATTGTGTGTTTTAAGGCACTATATTTGAACGCGTACGCATGTCTCTGGGTGATATATTTGACAGGGCATTTGACCCAGCCCGCTTGAAGAAAAAACAGTTAAACACTGACGTTGGATGTTTACATTCAAAGTCCATATTATGTTTTCGACTGCAAACATAGTTTGCAAAATTCGGGGATGGAGAATCTATTTCAGCATTTTTTCTTATGTATATGGCCCAAGGAAAAAAATAGAAATCTGAAAAATGGCGGCGTCCAGTGATGGCTACCGCGAGGTGAGTGCAAATATTTGATAATATGAGATTAGAAATGAGAGAAAAAAACTCTTTTCTATATGGGTATGTAGGATAGGGATATTCCACCCTCGGCAAGCCTCGGGTTTTACCACATTTTGTGACCCCTCGGGTGGAATATCCCTATCCTACATACCCATATAGAAAAGAGTCTTATAGTCTC